TTTTCTCACAGTTTGTCGCCTGCCAAATCATTTTCTTAATACTTTTGATGAGCATAGAAAATTTAAACTGTTTAAATTTTACATAATTAAAAAACAAAAACCATTATGTTAGCATCAAAAAAAAAAAAAATACAGGCGTAAATCTAATGAAAGTTATGTACAACCTCTACTTAGAAATTACAAATTATTAGAGAAACTAAGGAAGACCTAAGTAAATGGAACGATCTACTATGATCGTAGAATAAACGACTCATTGTAAAGATGCCAGTTCTCCTCAAATATATCTATAAATTTAATACAAACTCAGTAACCCTGCAGACATGTGGAGGAAGGTGGAATTGGTAGGCTGATGTGTATATGGAATGCAAAGGGCAAGAATAGCCAAGACAATCTTAAAAGAACAAAATTGAAAGAATAATGGCACAAGTTATCAAGACTTATTACATAGCTATACTAATTAAGATAGTGTAGTATTGGTTCAAGGACAATTAAATAGACAGTGGGACAGCATAAAGAGCTCAGAAACAGATCAACACATATATGTTCACTTGGTTAATGACAAGGTGGACATTGTAAAACAGTAGAGAAGGGATGGTCTTTTAAATAAATAGTTTGTAGTCAGATTTCTTCACGGGAGAAAAATGCATCTTGACCCTTACTTCACACCATGCACATGCTAAAAATAACAATTCTATGTGGATTTAGACCTATTTGTGACTGTAAAGCAATAAAGCTTCTAAAAGGTAATATAGGAGAATATCTCCGTGACCTTCAGGTAGACAAAGATGTCTTAAATAGGATAGGTGTACATATGTGCTCCAGAAGACATGTACAAGAATATACCTACCAGCATTATTTGTAATGGCCATAATGTGTAAATAACCCAAATGTCCATCAATAGTAAAATGAGTACATAAATTGTGGTATATTCATAAATGGAATAATAGCAATGAAAATGAACTGCTCGTACATATAGCAGCATAATTGAATCTCACAGACATAATGGTGAGCACTAGAAGCCAAACTCAAGAGAAAGCATATGTATGATTTCATTCATATAAAGTTTTTTTTTTTTTAAAGAATATAGGGATGACTTTTCCCTGCTTTTCACCAGTACAGTCTTATATTATCAAATTTCTATCTACTAGTTCTCTCATTTAATTTACCATTTCTTTATGAGTAATGTGGAACATCTTTTAAATCTGTTAGGCAGTATGTATGATGTTTAAGAGCATTCACTGTCAAAGCAGGACGCCTGTGTTGCGGTATTAGCTCTGCCGCTTAATGAGTTTTGGACATGTTACTTCACTTCTGTGTGCCTTCTCATCTGTGAAATGGAAGTAATAACTACCTCATAGGATTGCTATGTGTATCAAATGAGATAATATTAAAAAGGTGCCAAGATAAAAAATCCTATCAGTTTGTCATACTGTGGTAGCTTATGTGTTGCTGTGATGCTGGAAGCTATGCGGCCGGTATTTCAAATACCAGCAGGGCTGCCCATGGTGGACAGGTTTCAGTAGAGATTCCAGACTAAGACTAGGAAGAAAGGCCTGGAGATCTGCTTCCAAACATTAGCCGATGAAAACCCCTGTGGACCACAAGACAATATTGTCTGATATAGCGCTGGAAGATGAACCTCCTAGGTTGGCAGGCACTCAGAATATACATTGGCTGCAACAGTGGACTCAATTAAGCATGCCAGCGATAAGATAGCACAGGAGTGGGCAACGTTTCATTCTGCTGTACATGGGATCACCATGAATTGGAGCCAACTTGACAGCAACTAACAACAAGCGCTGTGTAATTTTTCCTAGTAGTGGTCTTTTTTATGTCTTCTGTACATTTTTCTTTTGTGTTTTTAGTCTTTCCTATTGATCTGTAATTATTCTTTATATATAGAAAATTTGTATCAATGTTAGAGATGTTTTTCTTTAAATAAAAGAGAACCTTTTTGAAATGTTATTAGGGATCCAGTATTTATCACTAAACTATAGGTTGGCTTTGTACATTTTTAGTTGTGGTCTTACGTTATTAAAAGTGATTCTGATTTGCTTTAAAATAGGAAAAATGTTACTTTTTCAAAGATCAAGTGGTTTAAAAATTTCGTTTGTTGAGGGCTCTAAGCTTCGGAATGGCAGGTGATATTATAATTGTGTCCTTTATGATGATTATGAGTGATGCATCTCCTTGCCACTTCAATCTAGTATATTTAGCTGTAAATAATACATTTTTTTGAACCTGGAGATTGTGGGTCAGAAGTAAAGGGGAAAAGAAAACACAGATATTTCTGCTTTGCTCTAGCCATTGTTGTTTTTCTTTTCTGTCTGGCTAATTGAATACAGTTCACTTGGACAAGTGTATATTGAACTCCTCCTGTGCAAGGGGCTGGTGTAGGTATAAAGATCAATACACACCCAGTACCTGTCCTAAGGGCCAGGTGATTCTAGTGGTGACCTGTTTCATATGGAGAAAATTTTCAAGTTTTAGGCTAAGTAAAGAGAATGGAAACTCATCTATTCATATTTAATCATTCAAACACTGGGTAAGTTTTTCTCTTATCAACATAATGCCACATACTAATTTCATTTAAAACAAATATTTTTGTAAAGAGTAAACACAAAGCATTTTCACTCATGCTCTGTTGTACCTGGAACACTATGCTGAGTGGTATTTTTAATTTGAGCCTAATGTGTTTGCAGATATGTTAATAAATTTTTTATCATCTGTTTAACTCCAAATTCAGCTGTCTAAAAAAGTGTTATTTCAAAAACAACATTGAGTTCAGGGTAGATGTCTTAAAATTTACAAAAAGAATGTTCTTTTTTGTGTAATAAAAGCTTTTACTTAAGGCATTGTGCCTCATTTGTGTTCATCTAGGAATCATATATAGTTGCAGTTCAGGCAGCTTGTTTTAGGAAGTGTTTTGCATTTCTGTGAACTTAATTTCACTGACCCAGCACAGAATGGGATTTAGGCTAAGTTACTGTTGCTCATACTGGTGAGGACTCCCCCTAAGTTGCAGCAATACTGGCATGCCATCCCCCTGTGAGCAGTGACCCACGTTTTGTAGTTGGGATACAGGATCCAGTTTCTGACTAATGAGGAAACTGAAGTTAATGTGCATGTTTTGAGAATGGAACCTACGACCTTGGCCTCATTTAATCCATTCTCTAAAGCTTGCCTTTGAGATGGAAACAAAGTTAAAGTAAAAACATGAAAATAGAAGAGAGAACCTACAAATTGGAGAAATGTTGGGGAACCAATATTAACATCCAGAATATATGAAGAACTACTCCAGCTTAACAACAAAAATGCAAACAACCTAATCAAAAAATGTGCAAAGGGAATTGAATAGAAATTTCAACAAATAAGATATACAAATGAAAAAGTGTTCAAAGTCATTACTTAATAGGGAGATGCAAATCAAAGCACTGTGAGATACCACTTCATCCCCAGTAGAATGGCTGTGATCAACAAAATGGAAAATAATGTACTGGTGAGGATGTAGAGACATTGGAACCCTCATCCATTGCTTGTGGGAATCTAAAATGGTAAAGCCCCTGTGGAAAACAGTTCGGCAGTAAGTTTTGTACAGTGAGGATTTTTAAAAACCTTATATAGTATGAAATCCGCTAGTGGGGTGGCATCACGTTAAGACTTTGGCTTTGCTTCAAGTTGCTTAACCAATTACTAGCAACCATGTGTTTGGCTCAGGTCAGCCAGCATTTACTTCTAAAGCTCGTGTCTGGGAGGTGGGGATCCTTGAACCAAATCCATGCTTGCCAGCAGGGAGTAAGAGGGCCTTGGGTGCTGGTCCGAAGCCAGCTGACTTGCCCCACACACTAAACTTAGGGGAGAGAGGTTGCATCTGGGGAGGGGAAGGGGACTGGAAGTGACAGTCAAAGTTCCATTTTTTTGAAGCAAGAGTGGAAAACAAATATGACCAAATACAGCTGTTCCTTCTGGGTGGTCAGAATGTGTATTTAGGTTATTTTATGTGGTTTTCTGCATCTTTTTAAATTTCTCAAAGAAAAACATTTTTAACACATGGATTTAAAAAGAGAGGCCATTAGAGGAGAAGCCACAGCCCGGGCCTACGCAAACTCTTCTCACTCTGTGAGTACAGGCAGAGACCCTCTCTGCTCTGAGTTTTAGTTACAGAATGTGAATGATGTCACCTTTCCTTCCTGTTTCCTAAGGTTTTTACGAGCATGAAATGAGAGGTGAAAGATAGATCTCTGTGTGTGTGTATGTGTACATATATACATATTTATATATAGTTTATTTTTGTTGCTATTGAGAATATACACAGCAGAACGTACATCAATTCAACAATTTCTACATGTACAATTCTGTGACATTGATTACACCCTTCAAGTTGCACAGCCATTCTTATCCTCCCTTTCCAATTTGTTCTTCCCACATTAGCATGAGTTTCCTACCTAATCTTTCACATTGCTGTTGTTGATTTGATCCCATATAGATCTTAAAAGAGCATAATGCTCAAGGCAGACATTTTTTACTAGTTAAGCTAAACTGTTGTTTGGTTTTAAGAAGACTTCAGGGGATATTCTGGTTTAAAATTTAAAGATTATCTCAGAGCAATAATTTCAGAGATTCATCCACCCTCCATGGCTCCAGAAATCTGGAGTCCATGAGAATTTGAAATTCTGTTCTGCGTTTAGGTGAAAGACTTTTTAAATTGTAAAATACTTAATATATAAATATTATTTACTCAGTTCACATTCATAATTGCAGAAACTTATTATTGAAAGGATGTTATTGCATACAATTTCCCAGAATGATAAAACTAAACTGAACTTGGATTTCCTTCATTTCTGCGTATTTATTTTTCTTTTAATCACACAGCCATTTACTTCTCCAGTTTATTAATTTGAAATGTGTCTTTGGTAGAGATAAATTAATTTTTTGACATATGTTGAGATAATAGCTATACCCAGAAACCTAAAATGAGTCTACCTTTTCTCTCCTTACAGGTGAATGGTGATATTCCACCTCGGTTAAAAAAAAGTGCTCATGAAATCATCCTGGATTTTATCCGATCAAGACCTCCTCTAAACCCTGTATGTAATGTGACACACTTCTCTTGATTGAGAACTGCATGACAACTCAGTCTCCTTTTAGGGTATCATCTCTGGAATTCAGCTGTGCCTGGTGGTCAGTTTTCACACTGAACTGTTCTTCTTAGACTCAAGAAGCCCAACTGTGTAAATCACATTCTTATGTCACAAAAAATATTTAAAATTATTCACTGTAAGGCTGCCTTAGGATGTTTTAACTCAAACAACTTGGTTGTGGTACAAAATCGGGCTGAATACCTTCTGTCATACCAGCTAAATTTAATAATGGATAGTTCTCAGGGAGTATTACCCTTCCAGTTTAGTTGGTAGTACTAATACCCGCCTTGATTAAATTGTCATGTTGATCCTATTTCACAGTAAATCCACCTGCTGTGCATCCACTTTCATAGTAAATATCTTCCTCTGTTAACGAGATTCTTTCTAGTGCTCATAGAGTCAAAATATTCTAATCTGGCTTGAATGTTGGTTTGTTTCCTCTGTTCTTCACTTCTTTTCCCTCTGGCAAGATAACCAGTGCTCACCAAAGCCTCTTAAACCTATGTCTGTTAAATGACCAGAAAGGGAATGGTGGTTCCTTCCCAGTTAGTGTCCATCTAAAGCATAATTAATGATCCCTTTTTAAGATCCTTTTTAGATGAAGGGAAAGAGGCCACCGAGGAAATGATTTTAAGAAGGTAGGTCATGTCAGTAGAAAGAGCGTGGTGTCAAGTGGACCTAGGTTTGCACACTAGCTCTGCAGTTTAGCAGCCGCATGTCTCTGAGCAAGATCATCAGCCTCCCTGAGCCTTGACTTCCTCAACTACAAAAGGAAGATGATCATAATTAACTCAGAAGGCTGTGTCGAGTTACTCAGAAATTCAGACAATAATTGTTGTTGTTAGTTTCTGTCAAGTCAGTTCTGACTCATAGCAACCCCATGTGTACAGAGTAGAACTGCTCCACAGGGTTTTCAAGGCTGTGACCTTTCAGAAGCAGAGCACCAAGCCTGTCTTCAACGTACCTCTGGGCAGGTTTGTACTGCCAACCTTTCAGCTAGTAGTCGAGCCCTGTACTGTTTTCACCACCCAGGCAGCCCAAAGACAGTAATAGATAAAGTGTAAAGGGTAGCTTACATTTCAATTTCTTGCTTATTGTCCTAGTATATTGGGAACATAATTATAACTTTAGCAAAACTAACTGCTTAAAATTACTTGAGCACGTATGACTAAATCACTGTGAAATCCAATTATCTCCCTACTGCTTTAGGAATCTTGATATTTAATAACTTGAAAAAATGTCTTCTAAGTGCATTATCTAGTAACATTTCAATCAGTGAAATATAATTTCATAGTACTATACTGTATAAGTGGAATTCAGGAAAAAAAATTTTAAGAACAATGACTCAAGTCTTTAGCCATTACTTTTTATTTTCAAGGCCTCAGCCAGAAAACTAAAACCAACCCCACCACGCCCACGGAGCCTCCATGAAAGAATATTAGAAGAAATCAAAGCAGAAAGAAAACTGCGACCTGTCTCACCAGAGGAGATCAGACATAGCCGACTTGGTGAGTCTACTGCTTATTGCATTCCTGCTCTATAGCCACCCATTTGCAAAACTGTTTTTATACAGCCAGCCCACTGAGGATACTAGTGCAAAGGAAAGATACTCCACGGCATTCTCATTCCTCGTTCATTTCTTTCCTTACGTCTCTTCCTCTTCTTTCCCCTCTCCATCTCCTTCCTCTTTACCGTTCTCTCTCTCTCACACATACACAGACATACCTTCACACTTACTTACTGTTTGTACTTGAAGTTGATAGGATAGGAAAATTGTTTCTCTTAGTGGCATTGGCCCACATGAGAGCATCATGGCATAATGGAAAGAACACTGCCCCTTTCTGGAATGTGGTTCTAGAATAATCTCTTCACCTCTCTGAGCATCAGTTTCTTCATCAGCAGAAGGAGGATAATAATTCTTGTCTTACCTACAGTATGGCTTTGATGTAAGAATTAATATAGGATCATAGTAAAGGTACTTTTTAAATTGTAGCACATGCACAAAGATAACTATGTTTTAAAAATATAGATGATCCAATGTATAGTTTTACTTCAAGAGTTTATCTTCTTAACTGTGGGCTTAAAGATATGGTATTATGTGCTGAAAGCATTAGTATCTGATATCACTTCACTTATTCCCAAACTCCTTTTATATTTATTATTTTAATTGTTTTTAATGTCTACTATAAGGTGTGTAGGGGCCCTGGTGGTGCAATGGGTAAGCGCTCAGCTGCTAACTGAAAGGTCAGCAGTTCAAAACCACCAGCCGCTCTGCAGGAGAAGGATGTGGTAGTTTGCTTCTGTAAAGATCACAGCCTTGGAAACCCTATGGGGCAGTTCTGTTCTGTCCTATAGGGTCGCTATAAGTTGGAATCGACTCAACAGCAATGGGTTTTTGGATAATGTGTGCTATAATGTGTACACACAAAATTAACGTGCACACGTTTATTTTGATTTATAGCAAGACCGTATTATAAAATGTTTATAAATATTTTTGTTTACATGGCTCTCCTCTAATTTTAAGATTAAAGATGCCCTAAGAATTCAGAGAAACTTCCTTTAGGAAAATAGATTATAAGATTATAGTGGCACCTGAAGAAGAAAGGAACCAGTTCTGGGACAGCACACTCTCCTCGTTTTCTCCTCTGACCTCTTTCTCTGCCTCTTTCAGATTCTTCTTGATTCTTCCAAGTGTCTATCCTGGGTTCTCTTCTCCCTGAGCAACCACACCTTCTACCATGGTTTTTGTTTCTGTCTATATTCCAGTGACCAGTCTACAGCCTAGATCTCTCTCTAAAAATTCAGACCCATACATCCAGCTGTCTGCTAGATAGGACTACCTCATATCCTATAAGCAAGAAAAACTCAACCTGTCTACACGTGAACTCATCCTGTGGTCCCCAGCTCAGAGGATCCAGTATGGAAACCTCAGCATCATGTTTGACTCCAACATAATGGCCAACCTCTGTTGATTTTACTCCTTTGGGATCATTCTAGTCTTCCAGTCTTTCAGCTCAACAGCCACCATCCTAATCCAAGGTGTTATCTTGTTTATGAAATCAGCCTTCTAACTTCCCTGTCCAGCCTTAATTCTTCGATCACACCATACTGTCTGTCTTTGACGCACTATCCTTATACTGTGAGTACCATTACGGCAGGGGCCATATCTTGTTCATTGTTGTGTTGCCAGTTACTAGTACAGCGACTGCTCTGTGGAAAGAACTCCCGTGTTTGTTGACTAATTCAGTATATCTTCCAGTTCCAGAGCTGGCAAGTAAAGAAAGGTTGTATCGATTTATCCCTCTCTAGTTCTGGTAACAAGTTTTATCTTTTAAAAGTGATGTTTAAAGGCATGCTAAGTGACAAATCCATAGGAGCTTTTATATAATAATAAGCCAAAACATGTAAACCAGTGGTTCTTAGAGTCTTCGAATGGGCCTGAGGGGGCTCTCTGAAGCACCTTAAATATGAAAAATTTGTGCATACTTCATAAAGTGTATGTATGTGCATTTTTGTAGCGAGCATCCACAGCTCTCCTCAGATTCCCAAAGGGTCCATAGCCACAAAAGGGTAAGAACCACTTTTGAAATAAAAAGAATTGGTACTTCAGGATGATAGTTTAAGACAGGATTTAAAAAAAAAATTACTACACCTTGAGAGGGAATAATGGAAAAGATTTCAATAAATCTATAAGATAAAACAGATATAGACCCATGGCAAAATTAAATTTACAGGAATAGAGAGTAATTAGATTTAGAGATTATAAAAATAGAATATGGAAAGGAACAAGACAGGCATAATGTGCTTAGATGATCTGGATGATATTTGACATCTAGTTCTTCCATTTTTCCAACAGTTTTTGAACCTTTACTATGTATTAAACACTGTGTCAGCAACTGGGAATACAAAGCTGAATAAGACATAGTCCCCTCCATAAAACGCTTACAGAGAGTGACTGAAATGCTGTGCTTGTTCTTGTTGCAAGAGATATAAACAAAAGTTAACAACACCCAATCCAAATGGCTTTAATTGAGGCCATTTGACGTAGTTTGAAAGAGCAATTAGTATTCCGTTTACGTAGTCACATGCATGTGAGTATCATAGCAAATCTTCATCACATACACATTCTTCACCTTAATTTGGAACAAAATATATATTTAGCTGCTAACTAATGGGAAACCTACTTTAGAGTAATTGTCAATTTTATCTTGAGTATGTCTTATTATTTTATTTTAACCTAAATGAATAATTTATAAGGATCAGCACAAAGCTGGTTCCTATGAGACGGAGGTCCAAGATGTCCCAAATGTCCAGCTTTTCCAAGCTGCTGAACCACTCCATCATCCCTAACATCAACTACTCCCTCTCCTCTCAGTACTCTCCCTCCCATCTGTAGGTTCCCTAATGCCCTGCAAAGTCCCACAGAACTCACAAATCGTATAAAGGCAATGGCTCCTGCAGTTATGGAGGCTGGCAAGTCCCGAATTCTTGGGTCAGGCATAGGCTTCTCCATGGCCCTCACTCTCTGCCCAAAAGCACTCAGCTGTCTCACTCCGTGGGCCAGGAAACCCACTGCATCATCTCCTGTGGGTCTCTACTGAAAGTCTCTCCATCCATGGTGGCAGTGGACTCTTCTCTCTGCTCTGGAGTTGACTCTGTTTTAAAGCAAAACTGACAATCCTCTTGGTAGGCCACAATTATCTTACTTGCACAGCCCTGCCCAGTCACCTGGGTGGGAGTTACAAGACCGTGATGAGAAAGGCCATACTAAGTAATTCATCACACCTCATAATCTTAGGAGTTGGTATTTTATAACAACCAGAATTGAGCCATTATAGAAAGTGATTGTTCTTGAGAGTCTTATTTCTAGAATTTTAAGTTCAAACTGATCCTGAGCCTTAACTGGAAAGTAAGGGATTTGGGCTCAATTTTTCCTGCAGATTTACATTGGTTCTTACTATAAAAGTTTGCTTTCGGGTGTTTGGTTAGGATAAGGTTTACAGAAGTAACTTGAAGAAAGTTTCCTTAAGTATTTTTTATAATCTTTCCCCTGCGTGTATTAGCAACTAGAAACCCATTGTAGAAATGGGGAAAATATGTCAATGTTTAAAGAAAGTGTTAACCATAATTTCAGCATCCACTGTTAAATCTACTTGTGCATTATGAAATGGTGATGAAAAACTTTTGTAGATTTTCTCCTTTCTTCATTTAATACTGTATGTGGCGGGAACATTTTCCTATATTGTTAAATATGACTCAAAGCCTGATCTATAAGGACGTAATACCCTAACATGGCCAAATTGTGTTTTATTTACCTACTTCCCTGCTGTTCTACAGGCTGTTTTTCTGTTTTTTCCTATTAAGTGTGAAATTACTATCCTCGTGCATCAGTCTCAGCTCACATCTCTGATCATTTTCCTTTTCCTAAGCATCTTTAATTGCTGTGATCATCTGTTGTCCTCTTTGTGATGTATAAAGCTTGGAAAAGAGATGAGCTTCATCTTTCAAGAAGTAATAGCATCCCCTTCATAAGCAATAGTCAGTCTTACTTCCAAAGATACATTCATATGCCAGAATAAGAAGATAATAGGGAACATTGAAGAATACTTTGAGAATACATAGAATTTTATTTTCATAATCAGGAAAATCTAAAGTAGATAATATTTAAGTTTAGAAATGCAGAGTTTTTAGAATGATGAGTGGAGGATTGTTCCAGTAGCCTGATAGAGAATCTTTTACTAAATTAAAGATAATATGATACTGAGTCTTGAACTAATATCAAAAATTTATACGTGTAACAGGTATTAATTTTACACCACAAATATTGATGGGTAAAAAGTATGTGATGAATAAGATTGTATGTCAACTTGGGTAGGCCATGATTCTCAGTGGTTTGAGAGTTATGTGATGATACAGTTTGACAGTTACATAATAATATCGTTCGGCAGTTATGTAATGATGTAATTTGGCTGTTATGTAATGATATAGTTATCTTCCATTTTGTGATATAATGTATTCACCTCCATGATGTGATCTGATGTGATCAGCCAATCAGTTAGTTGTAAGGGGAATTTCCTCAGGGGTGTGACCTGCATCCAATATATATGGACATTCTGGCATAGCGTGCTGGCTTTTGCTCACTCTGGATCCTGCATCCGGCTCGTCGCTGTCTGCCCTGCCGATCGTTGGTTCATCAGCCCCTGCAGCTACGATGAGTCAGGAGAAGCCTCTTTAGCGGGCTACCTAACCCCCAGACTTGGGACTTGCTACCCTCTACAACCACGTGAGCCATTTCCATGAGATAAATCTCTCTCACTCTTTCTATACATATATATGTGTCATGGATTGAATTATGTCCCCCAAAAAATGTGTGTGTCAGTTTGGCTGAGCCATGCTTCCCAATGTTGTGTGATTTTCCTGTATGTTGTAAATTCTGCCTCTGTGA